ATAGAATTGAAACGGAATTTGTATAGAATTGGATTGATTTTGTAGTAACCAAAGCACCTTAAGAACTTGGAAATGAGAATAGAGTGAATGAATGTTTTTGAATTTTTTCGGATTTTTTTATGAACTGAACCGTCGATTCCGGTATGGTCGATGGTTCAGACAATCTGTTGAATCTTGACCGTTGTATCTCAACGGTCATATTTAAAAATCTGACTGTAGGTGATTCCAGGAAGGCCGGTTCGGACTTGAAACCGTCTTTAATTATATATATATATAATCTGACCCTTAGATCTTCAATGGTCAAAAAGATCCAACAACCCAAATTCGATCTGCCCGTCGGGCCGCCAACAGTCATTATTGGTTTCGGACCGGCCTGACTCAATCCAAAATTATATTAAAAAGAAATAGAAAAATTGCAGGCCGTCTGCACAGTTGGTGCCAAGCAAACTTGAAGTGGGCCGACGGTAAAAAAATTACAAATAGGTGGCCCGGTCTCTATCCTATCAAACTACGGACTCAGTTCAAGGCCCATTGACCACGTGCCCAAACTGGCTGGCTAGGCCGTCCGTGGTCATGTCTATACCGAATACATCTACTGGGAAGTGAACTAGTCATTGTATCAAACCCACCAAACAGTGCCTGATAAACATAATTAACTTCGCGAAGGATTATGTAAAAACGGGAATAATACATTTCCACTAACGCTTAAAAAATAAAAAATTATGTCAAAGTGCACTGAGAATCAATTTAGCATAACTCAGCATCTTAACCCAAGGTTATGGCCTATATGAATAGTAGCAGGGACCATAAAACATTAATTAAGTGGAATTTCATTAAGTTTCCCTACCAATTAAGCAATCAAATGTCACTCCTGAAATTAAAGCAGCAGAAGCAGTCTCAGTGTCCGAGAGTTTATGATTGCTGAAATTACAAAAGTAAATGACATTCTACACATGATAGAAGATAAACATCCATGAAAAATAATACGAAAGCCACAAAACGAGAAAAAAATATTCTTCACTTCAACTACAACTTTGAGACACCACAAAAAGAAATCTCGAACATCTCTCTTCAGGCCTGCAGCACAAAAAAAAAAAAAAACAGAAAATTAAAACCAAGGTGGGTACAGGATAAAAGAGAATGTTCTAGCAAGCCAATCCCGACCTTGTTAGCGATGTTGTTAGACAGCCAATCGAGGCCTTCATACAGTCCTTCCCCAGAGGTAGCACATGTGCTCTGAATATACCTGCGATACAATTCCAATAAGAAAAGCTTTTAATATTACATATACATCATACATATTTTTTTAAATATACATATATAGAGAACGAGAGAGTACCAATGACGTTGTCGGAGAGAGTGAAGTCCAAGCTTGTCAGTTATCTCAGCAGCATTCATAGCATTAGGAAGATCTTGTTTGTTAGCAAAAACGAGAAGCACAGCATCCCTCAGCTCATCCTACAAAGAGGGACATTTTTTTGACAATGACAAAAGATAATCTAAAATTCCTTTTACAATTAGTACAAGTAAATAGTGATGAGGCAGTGGCAAATGGCCACGTAAAGGTTTTATTGTTACTTTGTTATTCCTTGTTGGGACTTGGTAAAT